TATGAGAGGGACCCTACTGCCACTTTGATCTTTGTAGGCCATTTGATCAACAGGCATATCATGTGAAAATAAAGTCTTCCGTTGTGGAGGTCTCCGACGGGATGAATAAAACGTATCAATCGCATGTGTTGAAAACTTAATTCTTCGATGGCTGTCATTCCTCCATAAGCAAGCATGTAACCATTTCACATTAGACATAAACACGACCCATCTCCTCTCAAATTAGAAGAACTCATAGATGAAAAAGAAGAAGATGAAGAAGAGACAGTATTGAAGCTAAACATTGATCAGTGAGTAGAGATAAAACCATGGTTCCATGACGTGCAAGTTCTCCTAAAGAAATACCCTGTTGGAGCCACGAAGAAAGATAAACCTTAAAGAGGTTTTTCGTAAATTTTATGATAACAGGTGGGCACAGCTATAAAAATTTATTTGATGGAATCTTCTAAGATGCATATGACTAACATGAGATTGAAGAAGATTTAAGAGAAATGCATGACAAAGGAGGGCACACCAGATCAATGACCTGAGGGTAATACTGGGCAACTATGGTAGAATGTCAAAAATGTCACCCATGACATTGAACTCCAACCGCCTGTGTGATACTCCGGCATGGGCACTATATTAGGGCATGCATCATGAAATGCTACAATAATAATTTATATTTTTTAAATTGGAATGAATGATCTTTTTTTTGACAAATGTTACTATTCTTATTGAAACTACGAAAAGGAAATTACATTATCAGAGATAACAAGAGAACGCAAAAGAGCACCCCCCTTAGACAACTCATCAGCAATCGAATTAGCTTCTCGGTAGACATGTGAGAAGGTAACCGTGAGGGGAGCAGCCAGATCTAATATGCGTAACCACAGAGAACTAAGGTTCCAAGAAACCCGTTACTCATTTTTGCATCACTTAATGACATTAAGAAAATCCCCCTCAATCCAACACATCTCCCCCCAATTTCTCTCCCTTAAAATCTTCAGGCCATGGTAAAGCGCACACATTTCAGCGTAGTTTGCAGTTGCACAACCAATTGGCCTTGGGAAAGAAAAGAGAATATTGCCATAACAATCTCTCACCAGTCCGCCAATACCAACCCTTCCAGGATTGCCCTAGGAACTACCATCAAAATTAAGTTTAAAAGTACCTGAAGAGGGGGCTGTCCATCTTAGCCTAGGCCGGCTATTACAAGAACCAAGAAGAAAGAGATTGCCCAAATTAGCCACAAGATCGATCTTTGATAAACCCCAGCCCACTTTAGAGACAGATAGGCATGACCAGATAGACAATTTGATAGATTGAATCAAACAGTCTAAGGATAGAGAGATACCTTCAAATGTCTGCCTGTTCCTTTCTTTCAAAACTTCCCATAAAATCATTCCTTTTGCTAGGCACCATAGCGCCTGATCAGCCTTCGGCAAATGAGGTAACGACAATTGCGTAACGATCCTATCAACCACTAATGGTAGAGCCAAACTAATGTTGACCAGTCCAAACAATCAATACCAAATTTGGCTTGTTTGGCTTGTAACTGGGCAATGCAAAAATAAATGCGCAGTAAACTCACCATCAACCTTACAAAATAAGCACACATTTGGTAGAATCTTACCTCTTTTAATAAGGTTGTCAATAGTCAAGATTTTATTCAGTGCGGTCAGCCAGATAAAAACTTGAACCTTGTGGAGTATTGGCCATTTCCAAACAGTAGCAACCTCGGGGTAAGACCATCTCCACTAATCATGGAAGAGAAGGTTGTAGCATGACTTAACGGTGAAGATGCCATTATTTTCATTAGTCCAAACCATTTCATCTCTTGCATCTGATGCAATATACGTTGTATCAAGAAGTTCCATCAACGCACACCACTGTGAAAATAAGTAATTATTCAGCCTGGTATACCTCAAGGGAATATTCCACGATAAAGAGACCCCTCTTCTCTCAACCAGCTGACACACATTAGCATTGGGGTCTACAGCAATAACAAATAAATCTGGGAAAAGGGACTCGAGGGAATAATCTCCCACCCACGTATGATGACAGAAAGAAACTTCAATTCCACTCCCAATCGACCATCTAAAGTAACCTGCAACCATGGACCATACATACTCAATATTCCTCCTCATCTGAGAGGTATCTCTCCTAAAACCATGACCAATCCAAAAGTCTGATCTACCCAAACCATACTTAGCAAGGAGTACTTGATACCAAAGCTGATAGTTTAGATGAAGGCTTCTCCACCACCATTTATAGAGCAAAGCTTGGTTAATCAACTTTAATCTTCTGAGACCCAAACCACCCTCCTTCTTTGGGGTGCACACCCTATGCCACCGCAATAAATGGAATCTACGGTGATGACTGTCAGAGCCTCAAAGGAAATCTCTCATCATTTTTTCTATCCTTCTCGCAATCATTGCTGGCATATTGATCAAGGACATCTGATAAACTGGAAGATTAGCCAGGCACGAGCTAATAAGCGTGACCCTACCACTCAGAGATAGATACTTCGGTTTCCAAATATCAAGCTTAGATTATACTCGCTTCAGCACCCTATCCCATACTGAAATAGGAAGACATGAATCTGAAATAGGTAAAGCAAGATAAAAAAGAGGGAAAAAACCCACATTACAGCCCATAACACTAGCAAGAGTGGCTACCACGGCAGCGCTACATTTAAGACCCAATAACGAAGATTTGTGAATAAATGATCGTTATCGCTAGAATGTCTCTCTCCATATAAAAACTATGAGTGACCAATGTTTTTATTAAGAAGGCATAGATTTTCTGTATTTTTCTCTTACAACTTTTTCTTTGTCCTAAAGAAAAATCCATTACAACATTTTCCTATGGCAACTTCTGTGTACTCCCTTAACCGCGAAAGGTAATAACACCATGGACATCCTGAAAGGTAGATATGGTTTTAGAGGTGGTTGCATCCACAAGAATTGGCGTCTTGAATACCAGAATAATCCTCGTAGATAGGAAAAGAGCCTAGGCTTAATTGGTTGGCATTTGACAATTTGCAAGGTTACGTCCTAGGCTCAATTCTTATCAAGGGTAAGGGCCCTCTCCCCACTTATTCACCAAAAAAAAAAAAGTCCCCCTGGATGAAGTTTTACCCATAAACATTGTGTTTGGAAACCAAACACTAAAGATTGTGTTTGGAAACTAAAATCTTTAAAACTTCCAATTTTTTATTTTTAAGTACGGTTGGCAATGGCCGGGCGGCCTGATCAGGTCCCAACACTAAAAAAGTAGGGCTTGGGCCACAAATTGTGGCTTGAGGGCTGGGCTAGGGCAACTACCTGCCCAATTCGGTGTGGCCGAGCCCTCTATTTTTTTCTTGGTTTTCTTTTTACTTTTTACATGTTGTATTTGACCCGCCCTATCAGGGCTCGGTCGTCCCTAAGCGAACAGGGGCTGGGCCAGGGCCTTGGCATTGGCCCAGGTCCTTATTTTTGAACTCCTCTAGATCAACCTCGAATGTGGGATCCGTCAAGTAGGGGTGGCAATCAGATGGGGTCGACCAATCCGAGTCTGGGTCCGAGCCAAGTTTTGGACCCCATTGGGTCAATTCTGCGACCAACACCCTGGACCTGAGTCGAATCCAAGTCCAGGTCGACCCAAGTTGGATCTAGGTCCAGGTTGACCCAACCTAAACACATGTATACTACACACACATATATTTGTACATTTTCAAAATATTTTTGCTAGACCCGGACCTGACTCAAACGTAACCCAGACCCAAATCGAGTCAAGTCCAGGTCCAAGTTTTGGATCAACGAGTCAGTTCGAATCCAAAACCTTGGACCTGCGTTGGAACTCGGTCGAGTCAGCTTCCAAGTCGACCAGGGCCCGACCCATTGCCACCCCGACCAACAAGAAAATAGCAAGAAAATAAAATAAAGGATGAGGTTTCTATAAAGCCTGGGATTTATGAAAACAAAATAAAGCCTCACTTAAAACCCTTGTCTAGAAAGTACTTTCGGCAACGAAAATCTCTATGATTGCTCTAAAATCAATTTTCCACACTAACAATAAAATTTTAACCACAAAAAATCGTACAAATCATGCTAATCTACGAACGCTTATTTTTAAGGCAAAATAGATGGTCTAGATAATTTTCTATAATATATATTATTTTTAGAGCTTAAAATCTTAAATATTTTTCACAACCATAATGTTCAATTGAGATCATTCGATATAAAGGTTTTCCAATGCTTGGCTTGCAAATTTCGATGAATTATAAGCTGTGAATTTACTTATTCTGATAGGGTTGCAGCCCTATTAAACCATTTTCCTAAATAAAACTAGGGCTTGTACATTAACACACGTGCTAGAGGCCGGTGCCCCAAATCATCAAGTGTCTACTAGACATTTAATCCTAAAACAAGAGGGGGTGGCAACTCGTAAGGTCGGGTCGAGACCCAAATAGTATTCGGGTCCAGGTTTGGGACCCGGACCTGACAAAAGTTGGACCCATATTCGTACATGTCGGGTCCCCAGTCTATCCCGCCGGGTCTTGGGTTTGGTCTGGTCCATTGCCACCCTGATTTTTTTTTTTTTTTTTTGCCCCTTTTGTTTACCCTTTTTGTTTACCATCGTATATTAATATTATTGACAACAAAATCATAATCACCTGCTATTAGATTTAAAGTCGTTTGATTTGTTGTTTGATAGCCGAAGATGACTACAAATTCTTATTATATCCGATCCTTAATACACCCAAACGAATAGGGCTTATCTTTAAAAATTTACGAGTATGAGTCGGGTCCAACTAGATCCGGACCCAAATTTAAACCCAAATAGTGTTCAGGTCTAGGTTTTGGACCCGGACCCAACCTGCTGGGTCCAAATGTTGAACCCATAACCGGACCGTGTCGGGTGTGGGTCCATTGCCACCCCTAAAAACAAGGTCAGTATTTGGAATCCACCAGTGATAAAAAGAAACAACATTAAAGAGCTTGTATTTTCCTAAGTAATACAAGAGAGAGAGAGTGTGTGTCATGATTCTCGCGCAGTTCCGAGCAAGAGAAAACCGTCCTACTTTAATAAACATTGACAGTAGACTGCAATGGCTCTCACATGCTCAGTGCGCATCCACCGGAATTCCTGATTCAAAAAGAAGCTTTGAAATGCCAAACAATGGCGATGCCATTTCCACACCCACCGACCCACTATGAACTTATTAATCCCCTATTTCTCTTTCTAAAACCCCAGTACCCACAGAAACCAATGGGTTTCAAACCACAACCCCCACCCAAAAAGATGACCCCCTTCTCCACAACCTCCCCCACCATCCGCATCTCCACAGTCCTCTCCTTGACTCTCTTCTTTGCTTCCTTCCTTCTTTTCATTAGACTCTCCAACTTCGCTCGCTCTCAACAACCGCATCAAACCGATTGCAGAGACGATCGTGGCTACCAGGTGCAGGGCTGGTCCGGCGATCTGCGCGATTCCCGTTTCGCGTGGAACAAGCTCTGCTTCGGCCCTCCTGTCAATCCCAGGCGCCTGCGTCTCGCTGTATTCTCCAAGAAGTGGCCGGTAGGGGCAGCACCAGGCGGCATGGAGCGCCACGCCTTCACCCTCTACAGTACCCTCGCCTCCCGCGGCCATGAAATCCATGTCTTCACCGTCCCCTCTGACCCCTCCCGCAGCGAGTCGGGCCTCCCTGATGGCGCCCTGCGCCTTCACTTCGCGCCCAACGAGGCGGGCCTGCTCAACAACTCACTCGCCTGGGAGCTGTTCGCTTCTGAAAATGAGAGCCGTGCATTTGACTTCGTGCACACTGAGAGCGTGGCGCTGCCCCACTGGCGGGCTCGGCGAGTCGCTAACCTGGCGGCCTCGTGGCACGGGGTGGGCTACGAGGCCCTGCACTCCACGCTGGTGCAGGACCTGTTGCACGGTGAGCGCGCCCCGCGGTCGCCTGAGGCCGAGCGCCACCTCCACGACGTGATGCCGAGGCTCATACAGGAGATTCGGTTCTTCTCTAGCTATGCTCACCACATATGCATAAGCGATAGCGCAGGCGAGATTTTAAGGAGCGTGTATCAGCTTCCTAACCGGAGGGTGCATGTCATTCTCAATGGTGTCGATCAAAAGAGTTTCAGGCATGATCCAGAGATGGGCTTGCGGTTCCGGAGAGAATTCGGCCTCCCGCAGAACGCGAGCTTGGTAATGGGAGTGGCTGGGCGGTTGGTTAAGGATAAGGGGCACCCATTGTTGTTCGAGGCTTTCTCTGAAATAAGAGAGAGACACCCCGGCGTATTCCTTCTGATCGCCGGCTCGGGGCCATGGGAGTCGAGGTACAGGGATTTACAGCCTAATGTGAAGGTCTTGGGGGCGCTGGACCCAGAGAGATTGGCCGAGTTTTACAACTCTTTGGACGTGTTTGTGAACCCAACGCTGAGGCAACAGGGGTTGGATTTGACTCTGATGGAGGCAATGCAGTGTGCGAAAGCGGTGGTGGCCACCGATTTTCCGAGCATAAAAGGGAGTGTGGTGGTGAGCGAGGGGATGGGTTACACATTTGCGCCTAACGTTGGGGCTCTAGTGGAGGCTTTGGAGGAGGTGATAAAGGATGGACATGAGGTTTGGAGGGCCAAGGGGATGGCGAGCAGGGCGTATGCGTCCAGCATGTTTGCGGCGGAGAAGATGGCCACCGCATATGAGCGGTTCTTTTTGTGCATGAACGACCGCCACTATTGCCGATATCCGCTCCCTACTGACTGTTAGTTAGTTACTCGATGGTTTCACAACCCACACATACACATACAAAAACTCTCTCTCTTCCCCTGTTCCGAAACAGATCACTCTCTCTTCTCCCCTGTTCCTGAAAATACCTCTCTCTCTCCCTGCCAAAAACAAAAAATAAGAGCAGTTTCCCTCTTTTTTATCATTAGTTTTTAACTACGCTTTTTTGCCCTTCTTAAACTTGTTCCATTCCCTTCTATGTTTTTAGCTGTAGAAGTTTCCTTCTGGGTTTAGTTGTAGAATGGATAAGGGCGTGTACAGCAGCAGCAGCAGCATAGTGTAGTTTACTGGTATTATTTTTCATATAATAATTGAGATTGTTTTCATTATTTAATTGCTCTTTGTGGAAAATAGAAGGCGTAAAATATACGAAGAAACAGCTAGCATATTGAAAATTGACTCATTGGTAATATTGGACTTCTTCTCTCCAAAAGTGAGGAGATGTAATTTTGAAACTTTTGTGGGGATTGTAACTTTTGTTAGGGAAGGTTGGTAATGGGTCTGGTGGCCCGACCCAGCCTGGCATGGTCGCTTCCAGTCCAAACACAAAAAAAAACGTATGACCCAGTTTAATGATTGAACCACCCCATACTTAAAAATAATTACAAGTATGGAGTGATTTGATGTCAGTAATATAGAACCACCCAAAACTTTGGTCGCATTGACATGTGGGGCAGTTCTATTTTTACGTTGCTAATGTCGAATCACCCTAAATATGGGGCAATTCGAGTTGTACTGACATCACAAAAATAAAAAAAATAAAAAAGTGATTTTATATTAGCAACATCGAATAAGGACTACAACTCAAATGGAAAAACAACAAAAAAAAGAAACTTTTAACATAAAATTTAAGAAAATATAGATCATGTGGTATTTCCAAATTCATTTTGCAATGTACTTGATTTTATTATTATTTTATTTATTTATTTATTTATTTGAGGTTGCTGGCTAACTTGAGGAGCCTCATTCCCAAATTTTGGAGTTCTAAAGAGTACTCCTGCCTACGGTTTTAGCCAAGGAAATGGAAAGTCCAATAGGATCCTATGAACTTTTGGAGGCTTTTTTTAATGCAATCTAACGAATAGACCATATATGTATGGACCAAGCTTTCTATGCTTCCGCTCCAATATAAAACTTATATATTTTTCTTTATCCAACCGTCCATTCTGAATGGACGGCTAAGATTGTCCCAATCACAATGTCTGTCTCTTCACTATTTTATTTTTAATTTTTTTCTATAAACTATTTTGACATCAAATTTTAGACGCCTGATCCTCTATTAAAATTTCACTAGTGAAAAATATAAAACAAATATTTTCAATAACATAAAATGACCAAAATACCTTTAAAAGTTTCAAGGGGTATTTTGGTCATTATATTTTATCAAAAATTTTGTTTTAATATTTTTTATAGCTATACCCAATGAAAAGACGGCACGTACCAAATTTCATGTTTATACAATCTATATAAAAAAAAACTAAAAAAAATTTACTTTGAGATGTCGAATATAAGATTAAATGATAAATGACTCTTTTGATTAAAATTGAATGGCTGGGCTGGATAATAGGGGAAGCATAGAAATATAGAAACCTATCCCATATGCAAAGGCCTTCTATGAGTGGGACTTTCCTCGCTTTGGCCTTCTTGAGGGAAGTGCCCCATGCATTTGTCAATGGCTAATTACTTTGCTACCAAGAAAGATGGTCTAGAAAGTTGAAAACAAAGCGCCGCTGCTCGTAAATAAGCACGCGTTTCATATTAAACGATATATTTACAGTTGGTACCAGCGTTTTAAAAAACGCCGAGTCGAACCGGACTCGCCCGGTTCGAGTCGGAAATAGTGAAAAT